CTCCAATGTGATAGTATTGTCTTTCACCAGACATTTCTTAAAGAGGTAAATCAGCTATCAGACATCTCTTTAAAATCTTTCAAAAGCTTTTCATTGCAATTAGAATCAGTTCTAAAAGACTTACCATGGTTAATGTTTAAGGTCCAACATTAACTGGTATCAACTGATCTCTCTAACCTCATTTTTTCCTTGTGCTACTTCCCCCTTACTACCCAGCCCCTAGCCACGTTGGCCTTCTTTTGGTTCCTACAGCAAGCAGACCTCTTTCCCTAGAGTCTTCAGTGTGCTTTCTCTTCTACTTAGGGTGTTCTGTGAAGGTTCTCAGTTCCTTCTTAGCTTTAGAACTCAGCTATTGGAGCAGTATTCCCTGACCACCATATCAAAGCCAGACCTCTGCTATCATTCTCTTTCATAGCAACTTGTTTATCACCCTCATTGTAATTATTGCAAACTGTAATAACTTAATTATTTATGTACACTTTTGAAATTAGATGAGATTTTAAAAGGTGTCCAATAGATGATTTACCTCTTTAAGAAATGTCTGGTGAAAGGCCATACTATTGCATATTATAGCAACATGTTTATCACCCTTTTATTGTAATTATTGCAATCTGTAGTCACTTAATTATTGATATACACTTTTGTTTGACTCTCCCACTAGACTACAAGCTCCATGAAGACAGCACTGTGTGCCTGATTCACTGTGGGATCACCAGTGCCTATTATAATGATTGGCACATAGTGGGCACTCAGCCAATGTTTGACAAATATGTGAAATATATTCACCTATATTACAACCCTGAGCACTGGCTACAAATTAGAATGACTCCAGAGAGCTTAAGGTAAAATAGCAGTGCCCAAGCCCTACCTCCAGAGACTATAATTTAATGAGTGTTGTGTGAGACCTGAGATCAGTCATTTTAGAAAGTTCTTCAGATGATTCTAATGTACAGTCAAAGAAGAGAATCACTGCCCAAAATGAACTATGGGGGATGATGAAGGTCTTACTAAAATCCTACCTTGGGAAAAAGACTTCTCAGCATCAGTTTGTAAATGACAAGATGAGAAAGAGCAAACTGGCTGACTTGCATGGGTTTCATGCAACAATATTACATGGGGAATGCTGAGGAATATGAGCTAAACTGGAGGCTGTGAGAGTGGAAGAAATGTCTTGTTCAGGAAGCAACAGAATATGAAGCCATAAGTATGAGAGAGCTGTGTGACTGAAGCCATTGCTGGCCTGTCCAATGGGTTGCTTTCTTTCCTTTTCTACCTGCTGGGTCTGGCATGCACCACATCGGGAGACATAAGGAGATGCCCATAGCAGTACTCTGGGCAGTGTGGAAAGTTCCAGATAGGCAATTAGGAGGACTTCTTTTCCCTTCCGTTCCCTTTCCCCCTACTGCATGCCCCAGGATGCCAAGTCTTGGGTGCCCATCCAACAGAGAAGTAGACAGTTGAAGAAATGACCGTTGAATGACTTCAGCACAAGGATAGGGGGAAGCTTAGGGAAGCTGGATGTGAGTGGGGAGGAGAAAAAGAGAAAAGAGGTCCAAGGAGGAAAGCATTTTTCTTCTCTGCTGACAGTGAGCACTGCCACCTGGGCAGCATACACTGGCGAGAGAAACAAGGGAGGAGAACCAGTCGGTGGAAGAGAGCTGACCTCTGGTGTCTCTTATTGGAATGTGACTCGTATGTGAAATAAAGGACCCCTAATGCAGTCTCTGGCCTCTGAGTATGTGATGCATTGGCTCACATTTAAAATGTTTGGGATAAGGGCTACAAAACCCTATCCTTACACAATTGGGGCTTACAGCCAGAGTCTGCATGGACATTACAATGGTGAATAAACATTTCCAAAGTTCCAAGGGCTTCTGGGTACCATATGGGATTTAAGGGGAATGAGGAAGTCTGTGATTCCAAAGTGACCTGTTTATCCCCAGAGGTCACAAACTGTCAGTCCATCTCACCCTCAAACGTGTTTTTTTGTCGTAACAGTATTTTTTTTTGAGTTATTGAACATTTTGATATTTAAAAAATAAGTATTTGTGGCTTAAAACAACACTGGATGATCTAAAAACACTGGACCTTTATCCTCTGCAAGACACAGATCTGGAGCTGGCTCCTTCCCTTCCTTTCTCCCCTTCTCTTCCTTCCATGATTCACAAAACTTTATTGAGCCCAAGCTTTTACAACAAATTTGAGGGTGGGTGAGACGGAACAGAATGCAGGCAGAGGTCCTGATCGTTCCCGCATATATTTGTATGCTCAGGTTCTCCTTGCATTAGGCTTGGCCAAAGGCAGAGATAAGATCGGGGATTTGGATTAAATTCTGTATTCTCTGAGTCATCTCGCTTTTCAAATGCTGTTAGTTTGGTCGTCTGTCAGAACTGTCAAATAATTTGTCTTCCAAATGGGCTGTTCTTTGGAATTTCATTCAGAAGCTGGAGTGCTAGACGGCTGTGCTGCTAATAAGTTGTTGCATCTCACCTTCACTCCAGCTTTGCTTTTCTCTGCTTTATGATGCCAGGTCAAGACTTCCCAAACTAGTTCTGCCTTTTCAGCTGTTTTCTGTCAAACATGAGCACCAGGGGGAGAGGGAAGACAAGAAAAGAAAAGAGAGAAAGGCCCACACCTTCCACTTCACTTGTAGTTCTCCCCGGTGGCAGCAACTGGGGAGTGTCCAACCTTTTCCACACTCACAAAAACCCCTCATGGTGTCCCAGAGCCAAGTCCTCAAGGTCTTAGACACAATGCTCTGGGGTCTTTCCTCAAGCTTCTAGGTTCTGACAATGCCAAACTCTTTTGTTGGTTCCCCCAAGCCCTAGGGGTGGAAGCTGCTTTCTGACATTACCATCTTGGAGTTACCTCGGGGTCTCCTTTTTGTTTGTCAGTCTGCCAACACCTGTTGAACCAACTCCCTGTAGCTCAAACTTGAACCAGCCTCAGAATCTCCTGAAGGGCTTGTTCAAATACAGATGGCCATCCTCCCCCAGACCCCCAAGTTTCTGATTCAGTGGGTCTGGGGTAAGGCCTGAGAATTTGCTGCTTTATCAAGTTTCCAGATGATACAGATGCTGCTTATTTGGGGACTCCAGTCTGAGAACCACTGCTTTACATTCCATTCCTTCTGTTAAAATCATGTGTAATGGTTATCAGTAAAACAGCACACCACCCAGATCCACCAGTTTGATTTTGGATGTTTGGTGAGCAGAAGTAATCCCAACTCTCTCTTCTCATCTGGACCTTCACCTGTGACTGAATCACTTTCTCGTTCTCTCTGCCCACACCCTGAGCCTGTGCTCTTGGCTCTTCTGCCCCGATTGCAATGCCTTTGGCCTTCGTTTATGATATTCCATCCCACTCCTCACTGGCTCATGTCCTATTGCTTCAAAGCGCCTGTTCTGCCAGTTCCATCTCATCTGAATTCTGATTGCTGAAACCTGTTCTGTCTAGGTGACCAAGTTAATAGCTCTTTTCTAGGCTTGCTATTTCAAGTCAGCAAATTCATATTGAATTGTCCACTGTGTACAGAGCTTCATGCTGAATGCTTTTGTCAGAGATACAAAGATGTGAAAGACTTAGACTCTTCCCTTATAGGGTAATCATCTGTACAATTTAAAATGGTTTTATATACTTGTGACAAATATAAAGAAATTACTAGCAGAATCTCCACTGGAGGATATACTTTGGTTGGGTGAATAATGTGATTAGCAGGATGTGGATGGGGTGAGACCCCAAGCAGTGTGCACAAGTAACAATGAACAGAGGTTCCACTGCGAGTGACCTATTAACTACAGGGCTTTGTTTTATAGAAAGAGATCTATACACGCTTGTGGCAGGGGTTGAATTGTGTGAAAGAAGGGAGTAGTGTCAAGAGCAAGAAAGTACCTTGAGCCTGGTGACTGGTGGCTGGCGGCCAAAGGGCAACTTCGAGAGAAAAAGAAACAGTCGAATAGAGATTTTCATTGCATTGTTTGCTTTGTGTGAGTTGTTATCATTCTGTATCTCTCCATGAAACCATCAATAAAATTACTTGCCTCCCAGGAATCTGACAAAGTGTTGGATCTTTTTGCAAATTTAGAATGGGGTGAAGTCAGAGATCTCCTACAGAACAGCTACACATAAATTATACACACATTTTTCATTTTCTCATCTTTCTCCTCCCACCTGCAGATAGTAAGCACCGTTTGGCACTGACTGGGTTTTATATTCTTTTCCATCAGCCCTGGCTATTGAGTAACACATGTTTATTGATGAACTAATTTCTGGCTTTAGAGTTTATCCTTGCCCAGATACACTTAGCATTAGGCTACACAAAGTATCTACAGACTTGAACATGGCTGCTCATATGTGGGAACACTGGCCCTTTACTCTTCTTTGATGCCATTTATTTATTTTTTATTTATTTTTATTATTATGTATAAATAATAGCACATTATTGAACACTGAGAAATATTGATAAGTATGAGCAAAAATAAAAGTACCCCATAGTGTCATGGGTCAGAGACAACCACAACCAACACACTGGAGTCTCTATTGTCTGTCTATCTATCTATCTATCTATCTATCTATCTATCTATCATCTACCTATCTATTTCATATATATATATAGTCCCTATATATACATATAAGTATTTTATATGTATATTCTCTATATTTTATATGTATAGTCAAATTAGGTTCACAATGTTTGTATAAGTTTACATACTGCTTTTTCCATGTAACTTTTTGAGACAAGCATTTATCCTCTTGATTACATCTTCAAAAATATAATTTAATGTCAGCATCATAGTTATTCATATAGACACCCATAAAATATTTATTGAATTCCCTACTGTTGAACAAGCATGGTATTTCCACACTTTTTGTTATTATATATGATACTACAGTGTGCATCCATGTATATATGTTAAGATTATAACTTTATATTTAGGTAGATCGTCTTTTTGACATATTGAAAAGCACATTTGTCTTCAGAGGTAGAATTTTGTACTTACCTGAAATGAAGCTCAAAAGGTACAACCCTAGGGGACCATGCAGAGTTTCAAAGGGTTTTCCAAAAGCATTGTACATGAAGAAGGCTGTTCCCACCATGGTTAACACAATAAGGATGGCAGAGAAGAGAATGACATTGACATGGATGCTTACTGGGATCGCTTTGAGCAAATCTGGAAAAACTGAAGATAAGACAAAACTAGGGTTAGAAGAAGTTTCATTAGCAGTAGTCTGCAAGTATAATTTTAAAAATTCAATCTCTCTTTTTAAATTTCAAACATCACTACAATCCTTCTGATGAATACATTCTCACTTACTAATTTATAAGGGGTTTACACAAAGGTTTAAAGATAGGATCATTTTATAGACTGTACCAGTAAAATTTAGCAAAGAGGAGATTTGAGGTAATTTATTTTCTGAGCTTGGTCGTATGTAATGATTTAAACAAATAAATGCTGGCTTTATAACCCAATCTGTACATTTTAATAATTAAGCTTTTAATGACCTTTCTCAGTCATCATTTTAAAAAAATCTATCTTAACTTGCAATGATATTTTAAGTTTGGAGATATCTGGGGTGTTCAAACATCAGGAAGTTTTCATATTTACTTTGTTACAAAAAAATTGTTTCTAGTCTACACCAAGATTAAAGAATGGAGATATTTTCAGTCAACTTCAATATTTTAATGTAGCACAAAGCTGTGGGAAAGTAATTTCTGGTACTATGGGAAATATTTCCACGTAGAAAACATGCCAAATCTATTTCTAGATTTTGTGTTCAGGGCAAGTTTTTCTTGTTTGCAGAGAAAGCAAAACCCTACATTTTAGGGTTTCTTTTTTCTGGTGAGGCATCAGCATGCTTGGCCTCAGCAAATCTGGCAGGACCAATCTGGAGAAGTTTAATTCAGTTTATTTTAGTTCTCCAAACATGTATCAAGTGCTTAAGTTATTTACTGAGCACCTACTGTGTGTCAGGCATTATTCTAGGTGTTGGAAGTAGAGCCATAAAACAAGATGGACAAGGTTCCTGTTGTCTCACAGAGCTTATAACCTAATGGGAGAAGACAGACCATTAGAAAGTAAACAAACAAATAAACGCGATAGCTTATCTCCAAAGATGGCCGCAATCAATGCTTTTCCCCCTTTTATACATGTGTCGCTTCTCATTTAAGAGGTAGAATTTTTTCCCCAATGCCGTTGAACTTGGATTGGTCTTTGATTGCTTTGACCTCCTGAATATGGCAGCGGAAGTACATTGTACCAGTTCCAGGCCAGTTTGATAAGAGAACTGGCAGTCTCTGCTTTTTTTTCTTTTGGAAGCTTGAGTTGCCAAGAAGTCCAGGCTACTCTTCTGGAGAGAAAGGCTGCCTGGAGGAGCACTGAGGCACCAGACACACAAGGGAAGAAGCTGTCCTGGATGTCAAGCCCAGAAAAGATGACTCCAACCCAGTTGCTATGTAACTGCTACAGTTAGGAGAGGCCCTATCAAGAACTGTCCAGGTGAATAAGTAAATTTTTGTTTTAAGTCCCTGAACTTTATAGGAGAGCTGTTATCCAGTGGTAACAATGATAGAGGTGTAGAAATTTTAGGCAGACAGAGGCAGGTCCATGGAAAAACCTCACTATTGAGCTGAAAAGCCTGAAACCCGCAGCTCAAAGTGAAAACTTCCATCCTTATGTGCCCATTCTTTCCCAATTGGTTCTTTCTGAATAATGTCTTTTTACTAATAGAGTGTTGCCTTTTCCAAAATTAGGTATGGTCTGCCCCACCTCCTATCCTCTGCCTATAAACACCCCAGACTCAGCCAGTAGAGAGGAGAAGTGGCTGGACATCAGAGAGAGGCAACTTGACTTCAGAGATGGTGGCTGGACATTGGAGAGGTGTGACTTGACTTCAGGGGAGAGTGACTTGCCCTTCCCATTCCCTTTTCAGCTTCTTCTCTGCTGAGAACCACTTTCATTGCTCAGTAAAATTCTCTGCATTCAAAATCCTTCAGTTCATCTGTGTGACCTCATTCCTCTTGGGCAGCAAACAAGAATTCAGGATGCACAAATTGTGGGTACCCCAAAAGACTGTCACCCTGGCCCTTTGCCCTCACTGGCAGAGGGCCGCCACCCCACGTGATGAAGCAAAAGGCCCACTGAGCTGACAACACACTGCTGTCTGCAGATGGCGGAGCTAAGAGAACATTGTAACACACACACCCTCTGGGGCCCTGGGGTCACAGGCACCCCCACCTAGATGCTGCTGCAGGGCCTGCATGGAGTTTGCTCCTGACAGCACTAAAGCAGCCAGCTGGTTCCTGTACTCATTCACTCATGGGGCAGGCTGAGTAAATGGGGCACCCCTGTTGTGAGTCCCGTGAAGGGGTCAAGAAAATAGCCTGCATCAACAACAAGATAGTTTCAGATAGTGAAACATATGATAGGGAAATAGGGTAATGGGATTTTGAGTGATCTCTGAGTGGATGGGGTGGTCAGGAAAATGACACGAGCTGACACCTGAATGTTGAGAAGGAAATCACCCCTTGAAGATCTAGGGGAAGAGCTTTCCAGGGAAAAGAAGCACAACTGAGGCAGGAATGAGCCAGTGCAGTGGAGCCTGGTGAATGGTGAGGAGGTGGAAGTGGGATTGTTGTGCTGGGATCAGATTGTTGTACCCACTGGATCCTGGCCTATTGACCACGGCAAGGAGTCAGCTTTTTATTCTAAATTTATTAGGAAGCCACTAGAGAATTTTAACTAGGAGAGGGACATGGTTTCCTTCATGATATTAAAAAATCTTTCTGAATGCTGACTAGTGATCACAAGGGGGTGGGGAAGGACAAATGTCCAGAGATCTAAGGGAGGCTATTTACAGAGGTGAGAGATGGGGGTTCACCTACGGTGGGAGAGGTTGTCAGATTTGGGATACATTTTAGAGATGGAAGATAGGACTTGTTAAAAAAAAAAAAAAAAAAAAAAAAGAGGAATCCAGGCCGGGCACAGTGGCTCACGCCTATAATTCCAGTACTTTGGGAGGCCGAGGGCGAGCGGATCACAAAGTCAGAAGGCTGAGGCAGGAGAATTGCTTGAACCTGGGAGGCAGAGGTTGCAGTGAGCCAAGGTCCCACCACTGCACTCCAGCCTCGGTTACAGAGTGAGAATCAGTCTCAAAAAAAGAGTCAAGGATTACTCCAAAATTTTTGTCCTGAGCAACTGAATAAATGGTGATGCTGTTAACTGAGATAGACTAGTAGAAGAGACAGGCTTGGGCACCAGGATGGGAAGTGATGCAAGAGTTCTGTCTTAGATGTTTTACATTTGAGTTTCCTTAAAACCTCCAAGTAGAAATGTCAAATAGGATTTATGTTTCTGGAGGTCCAGGGAGAAGACTGGGGTGTTTAAGAGGACTGGGACTAGGGTAAGGCAAACAAGGTGCCTAGGGTGGAAAAGGTAAGGTAGTAGTCACTCTCCAGGGCCAGTCCTGTACTTACATGGGACCGATAAAGAATGTTTCCTTAAACTTTATGTGCTAGGTGCCTCCATGACCTCTCCGTAGTCCTAGCCCTGGTATTTAACCCCATTGGAATAGACATCCCAAAGAGATGAACCCAAGGAGAAGCTGCAGTTCAAAAGAGAAGCCCTGGAGCTCCCCCATGTCTACAAGCACAGAAAAAGAGAAAAGCCAACCAAGAAGACTGGGAAAAGAGTAATTTGTGAGTTAGGAGCAGACCCAGGAGTGAGACAGCAGGGAAGCAAATGGAAAAAAAATGTTTCAAGGAGGAGTAAATAGTCATCTGTACAAATGCATGTTTCATGGCCACAATACTCTACTCCTGACCACATGCTGGAAGGGGGCCAGGAGAGAAAGTTTGATTGGTTCAGAACAAGCCCTTCACCACTGCTGGGTGTAACTAACTAACTATACACATGTACATACATGAAATAAGCTTAGTGCTATCCAGTAGGGAGCATCCTCTTCGTAAATACAGAAGTGTTTGGATCCTGATGGTGTTTACCAGTGTCCTCACTCAGGAGTCATGGGCAGGTCACTTGACTGCTGAGTTTTAGTTGTACTACATTTCCTTTATCTTCTCACAATCAGAGAAATGCACATTAAAATTATGAGATACCATTTTCAACACATCATGTTTACAAAGATGAAAACATTTAGCAATATCCTGTGTTAGCTAGGGTACAGGGAAATGGGGACCCCTGTGCATTTTTCTTGGGAGTGTAAATTGGTATAACCTCCTTTGAGACAGCTGGGCAATATCTATAAAGCATTAAAATGCACATATCCTTTAGCGAAGCAATTTAACTTTCAGGATTTTATCCCATGAATATTTTTGCACATGAATCCAATAAAGTATTACAAGGATATTCATTGCAGCATTTTTTGATAATAAGAATAGGTTGGAAATGACATACATGTTTAGCAGTAGCATATTCATACAATGGAATATTAGTCAATGATTACAAAGAATGAACCAAATCTATAATAACATGTATGGAATTATTCATCAAAATGTGATATGAGGTGAAAAAACAAGCCAAATAAATGAAGACATATGAGCACCATTCTGCTATTTGGGAAAAAAGCCAAAAGGGAATGTGAATAATAATAAATATTAATAATTATTTAAGCACTTATCTAATTTAATTCTCTCAACAGCCCTATGAGATAGGTACCATTATTAAAAACTGAGGCACAAAGGCCATGTACCATGCCCAAGATTTATACTTACTGGCATAATAGGAATTTGAATTCATGTTCTCACTCCTAACCACCTTGTTACAGCAGCCTTAGGGACTGGCATGTGTGTCTAGGTGAGACTATTTCTACAAAAGTGGTAACATTGCTTCTGGGAAGGGAGACTGAGGAACAGTTCATCATGTACCTTTTTGTACTAAAATGTTTTTTTTCACTTTTCTGCAAGCATTGTCTATTCAATGAATACATAAATACTTTTTTTTTTTAATAATTGGAAGGATAAATGAAGACATAAAAATTCCTGACTGTTATAGATTAAAAGAAATTTAAGAGACATATTAATAAAAAGTAATGTATGGCTATTGTTTCTGAATCTGGTTTGTGATTTGAACAGACCAATTCTAAGAAGATGATTTTGAGATAGTGAGGGAAAATTGGACATGGACTGGGTATTAGATGATATTTTATCATTGTTATAGATTTTATTGGTTATGTTAATGGTGTTGTGGTTGCACTTTTAAAAGTCCTTATTGGTTAAAAATGATACAGATGAATGGATGGCTGGATGACTGGATGAAAAGATAAAGATAAAATATGTAAGGACACCCATAGGCCTGAAATAAAGGGATGGAGGAAAATCTACCAAGCAAACAGAAAACTGAAAAAAGCAGGGGTTGCAATTCTAATTCCAGACAAAAAAGACTTTAAACCAACAAAGATGAAAAAAAGACAAAGAAGGGCATTACGTAATGGTAAAGGGTTCAATTCAACAAGATCTAACTATCCTAAATATACATGCATCCAACACAGAAGCACCCAGATTCATAAAGCAAGTTCTTAGAGACCTATAAAGAGATATAGACTCCCACACAATAGTAGTAGGAGACTTCAGCACTTCATTGACAGTATTAGATCATTGAGGCAGAAAATTAGCAAAGATATTCAGGATCTGAACTCAACATTGGACCAAATGGATCTGATAGACCTCTACAGAACTCTCTACCCAAAACCAACAGCATATACATTCTTCTCATCACCACATGGCACATACTCTAAAATCAACCACAAAATTGAACATAAAACAATCCTCAGCAAATACAAAAGAACCAAAATCATATCGAACACCCTCAGACCACAGTACAATAAAAATAGAAGTCAAGACTAAGAAAATTGCTCAAAACCATGCAATTACATGGAAATTAAACAACATGTTCTTGAATGACTTTGGATACATAAGGAAATTAAGGCAGAAATCAAGAAGTTTTTTGGAACTAATGAGAACAAAGATAGAACATACCAGACTCTCTGGGACACAGGTAAGGCAGTGCTAAGAGGTAAATTTAAAGCACTAAATGTCCACATCAAAAAGTTAGAAAGATCTCAGATTAGAAACCTAACATCAGAATGGAAAGAATTAGAGAAGCAAGAACAAGTCAACCCCAAAGCTAGTACAAGACAAGGAATAACGAAAATCAGAGATGAACTGAAGGATTCAGACACGAAAAACCATTCAAAAGATCAAGAAATCCAGGAGCTGGTTTTTTGAAAAAATTAATAAGATAGATAGGCCACTAGCTAGCCTAATAAAGAAGAAAAGAGAGAGGATTCAAATAAACACAATTAGAAATGATGAAGAGAATGTTACAACTGACCCCACGGAAATAAAAATAACCATCAGAAACTGCTACAAACACCTCTATGCACACAAACTAGAAAACCTAGAAGAGCTAAATTCCTGGATACAAACACCTTCCAAAGACTGAACCAAAAAATTGATTCCACTTCTAAAATTATTATTGGTCTATTTAGGGAATCAGTAATAAATACTCTACCAACTAAAAAATCCCAGCACCTGATGACTTCACAGCCAAACTCTACCAGATGTATAAAGAAGAGCTGGTACCATTCCTACAGAACCTATTCCAAAAAAAAAAAAAAAAAAAATGAGGAGGAGGGACTCTTCCCCAACTCATTCTAGGAGGCTGGCATCATTCTGATACCAAAAACCTGGAAGAGACACAACAAAAAAAGAAACTTCGGGCCAATATCCGTGATGAATATCAGTGCCAAAATCCTCAACAAAATACTTGCAAACTGAATCCAGTAGCACATCAAAAAGCTAAACCACCACAATCAAGTAGGCTTCATCCCTGGGATGCAAGGTTGGTTCAACATAAGCAAATCAAAGAATGTGATTCATCACATAAACAGAACTAAAGACAAAAGCCACATGATTATCTCAATAGAGGCAGAAAAGACTTTTGATAAAATTCAACACTGCTTCATGTTAAAA